GGCCAGGCACGGCCCGTTGCCCATGTTTAGTTTTTTGTATGTATATATAACGATTTAACAAAGTTAGCACAATTATTGAATGAAGGATGAAATGTTTTTTTTTTTTTTTTTTTTTTTTTTTTTTTTTTTTTTTTGCCTTTTTTCAAACTTTAAAATGTTGCAACTCTTATGGAATACAAGCTACTAACCTACTATGTACAACATATGTAGTTAAGTAGATGCGTAAGATTCAAGTAGTTATATAAGCTTATAAACGTATTAAATAAGTCAAAAAATATTTCTTTATATTTTTAATGAAAGTCTAACTTCCATCTTTTTGTCACAAAAAAAAAATAAAAAAAATCCATCTTGTCAAGTTGTCGTCCTCCATAACTCCATTTCAGCATCATTAACAAATCATTTAGTTTGTCGTTATTTATTTTAATTTATTTTTTTTTATGCAAATGAACCAAGACACAAAAATTACCAACAAAGTAGGGATTTAAAGTATGATCTATCGTACACAAACCCTCAAACTTAATTCTTATGACAAAACTTTGTTGGTAAACATATGTGTCGGATTTAGGATTGAAGTTGTTGGACCTAGACTTAGACCCAACCCAACCCAACCCAAGAATTATTGACCCATAATTATCCCTATTTGTGGTGTTGGGCCGATTGAGGTTGTGAGGAATCACAAAAATTCTCTCTTTAGACTTCCACTTCATGCTAAAATCTGACGCCAATAAATCATTCACCTCTTCCTTCAACAATCAAAGAAACTTAACAAATCCAATTGCAAGCTTATCAAGGTCAGTTATTCAATTCCCAATTTTCAATTTCTTCTTTAATTCTATTTTTCATTTCTTTAGCGCATTCTTTTTTGCTATTTTGATTATTAAAGTGCAATTCTTTAATTTAATTAAGCTGCAGAATTCCCTTGTTTTTTAATTAGAACATGTTCATATTAGAATTCCTAAACCCCAGAAAATTTGCAGATTATATGACTTTTTGAAACTGTGTAGGATTTAGTTTGGTAAACTAATCATCAAAGAGAACAAATTTACTTAGTACATGGTAATTATATGATGAAGATTGAAGGGATAATACTAGTTTCCTGAAATCTGAGCTGTAATTCTTTAGTTGAGAGTTGAGATAGGTGCACTAGGATTCCCTTTTTGAAATTCGTCTGTTGAAATGTTGCAAGTATTTAGGAATTGGGAAATTCATCGATGAGCATTTCTGTATATTTCTGCCTTCGGGTGAGATTCTAGAAGAATGTAATCTTATTAGTGTTTCGAGCTCGTAAAGAGGGGAAGGCTTTATTGATTGACGGGTAAAAGCTTCGGAGGTGGACAGATGTGAGCTAGAGGGTATTAGTGCTATTAGGAATTTAGGATCATGATTTGGGGCTGGGGTGAAGAGAATTGTAGTAATGTCATTTTTGATGGATGGACTATTGGACTGTATACTCCCTTCGTCCATTAAAGATTGCTTTACGAGAGTTTATCATGATGTTTTATAGTGAATTGCGTGGAGTGAATGGAAAATTTGAATTGCGGGATCTTATGTATCTTAAGGAGAGAGTAATGTATTTGGATTACATGACCATAGATAGAATGGAGCATTCTTTTGGGTAAATGCCGGACATCCTAAAAAGGTGGTGTATACCATGAAGGATGGAGGGATTATTTGGTTGAATTGAGTTCTGATCTCTTACCTGCAGAGGAGAAATTCATTGGAGCAAATGCTGCTAGCCTGCTACATTTTACTTTATCATATTCTTCTTCTTATTCTTATTTTTGTTTTGTTTATGCTTAATCCGTTCTTATTTTTCTCCTTTGGAAGTTTTTATTTTGGAGTATAATGGGTGCTTGGCCTTGGTGTTTTCAGATGTATTTCATTTAAGTCATGAATTACCCCTTCCTGTAGTCAAAGTTTACATGGGTTGGTGGAAGGGCTGTGGGGTCAGAGTGGAATTCGTTGTGAAATCAATTTCTGTTGAACCTGTCCTGAATTTCTTATGTTGGCTAGTAAATAGTGATTTTTCATCCTTTGTAAGGATATCTAGATTTAATTTATCCCTGTTTCTCTTTTCAGCTGATGAATAGATGATAAGCAGGATTAACAACAGCTCAAATGTCATTAAAATTCTTGTCTTGTAATCAGTGGGTTCAACTCCAAAGGTATTTAACATCAAGACTCTGTTATCTAGCCATCCTTCCTTTTCTTTTCAAACTATTATCACTTCTCTCATTGTCCTGTTATCTTCTGTAATGCGGTCAGTCCGGCATCTTTAACTACCACCAAAGGAAGAAGGATAGAAACTGGACCTAGCTTTTTCAAACCACCACAATTCACTCAGCATAAGAGCCTGTCACCACGTTTATGCGTTGCTATGGATCAAAATATCCGGCAAGTAGGTGCCTCTGGTGTTGGTCAGAAAGATGGTGTGATTATTGTGGATCATGGATCTCGTCGAAAAGAGTCCAATCTATTACTGAGTAAGGCCATTTAGAGTTGTTTGATGTCTCGTCAATGTTTTTTTGGGGGGAGGTTGGGTAGCTAGTTGTGGAAAATTTTCATTATGTAACAATGTGCTTACTTGTGTACTGCAGATGAATTTGTGCTGATGTTTAAAAACAAAACTGGATATCCTATTGTTGAGCCTGCACATATGGTAATTACCTTGTTTTGTATCATGCTGTCATGCAATGTTTCGAGTTGGATATGAAATTTCTGAGTTGCTCTGGAAGCCAGCGTTCTATCGCCTTTCCTTTGTGTTGAGGAAGTGTAACGAGTGTATTAAGCACTCATCCAAACTAGAAAGACACCAAATTATGTACATTTTGGATTGGAACATGTAATAAATCATCTTTGGCATGCAATGTAATTTTTTTTTCTAGTGCTGTTTATTTTGCTGTTTCATGTTGAACTAGTCTCTTGACTTTTCAGAGTTCTGAACATGTCCTTACATTACTTGTCACCTTATTGCTTAGGAATTGGCAGAACCGTCCATAAAAGATGCTTTCAGTTCATGTGTCCAGCAAGGGGCAAATCGTGTTATCATTAGCCCATTCTTCTTATTTCCTGGAAGGCATTGGCATCAGGTAAGAAAGTTTTCATTTTACAGTTTTGATCCCTCTGTTTTTGTACATAAGACAATGGGGGACTGGGGATGACCCCCTTCTTGCCTAGGTTCTATTGTGACCATATAGTGTCTGCATGCTGCTGCTTTGGACTTTTAAATTTCAGAATTGAATCTAGGGCCTTAGAATTTAACCTTGTGTGCTTTAATATGTAACCCCTATATTTATTATAATCACTCATACAAGAATGTTTCTTATCCTATCTCTTTATATGAAATTAGATATCCAGGTGAGGATGGTCACTTGCTGTTTAGGGAGGTGGATGGTCAACCTTTTTTTTTTTTTTTTTTTTTTTTTTTTTCTTTTTTTTTTCCCCTGTATACGAATCTGACAACAGTTGAAGTAAATTTATTTGTCTGTTGTATAGGATATCCCAAACCTTGCAGATGCTGCTGCTCTGGAGCATCCTGGTATCAACTATCTTGTCACTGCACCATTGGGTTTGCATGAGTTGCTTGTGGTATTACCTTAATCCCCTCTTATCATTTCTACATGAATGTTTGTACTTCGTACATTTCAAGTGGTGAAAGTCAAATGGTAGTTAGACTTGTTTATAGTATGTTTTTCATTATAACTTTACCCGTTGACACCCTTCCTACCTCACCCCTATTCCGATGGTGCACTGATCTGAAGAGATTTGTGACTTTCTTGATACCATCTTTTAAAAAATATGCAATGATTTATCATTAGTTTTCCCATATCCTTGCTCTTTATTGTTGTATTGCTGGATGCATTTGTTTGCTATCTAAGTAATATCTAGAACTGACACCTTGGGATCATCATGCTGAATTCAGTTATTCGAAGTTGATACATTTCAGGCATAATTTATTGATTGTATGCAATTTGATCTCGCAGGATGTCGTGAAGGACAGAATTAACTATTGCTTAAGCCATGTAGCTGGAGAAGCGGAGGAATGTGCAGTCTGTGCTGGAACAGGCAGGTGTAAGTTTAAAGTGCAGGACTCTGAAATTGACGTGCAGCCTTCTAGCTGATGTAGTGAGCTAATCCACCACACGCTTCTATAGGTCAAGATAATGTCCTTAGACTATCCAATGTGGAAGCTTCATGCGCATTGTTATGCTGAATATAGATCACTTCATGAGAATGACTCGACTGTACGCCGTGTGTTCTGAATAAGTAAATGAAGTAGCTTGATTTCTCATCAGTCTGAAAATTTATTTGAGTGGACCACATGATAAGTGAGTTTTGTATTGCAACATCATCATGGCAATGGTAAACCTAGTGCATAAGGCTGATTGATGAAACATTAGCACATTTCTAAAGATGTACTCATAGGCTCGTAGCAAGGCTGTAGTTGTAGCAATTCATAAGTGTTCAAACTTCAAACTTCATCATCAACTTCAGTTTTGAATTCTTGATTGCGAATTGTATAGGCTTAACCTGTCAATATAGAAAATTTTGAATGCTTCATTTTTATGCACTCATTAAATCCATGTTGATTTCATATAATTGTTGGTGTTTATATGAACTTATATTAGTTGTGAATTGAAATTTTTACCTCTTATCTAGATCTTAAAATGTAACATATGGAGTACAAAATTTTAATTATAAATCATTATTATGTAGCAAATATCTAAAAACCAAATGTAGAAAATATACGAAAATTGCAATACGGTCATACGGATGGAGTATAAGGAAATTGCAATAGCTCTTGATACGGATGGTCAAAGTTGTGCATCTATATGCACTTAACTTTTCAAGAGTCAAAACAGTAGGTTTTTACAAAACTGAACTCAGAGAATTATAAATCTCCTACTGATCATATTGTTAAACAAAAAGGTCTAAGAGCAATTTGGTGCAAAACAAAACAAAGGAAACAATTTGAGCTTTAGACTCATTTGCCCATGTAGTCAAATATGCATCATTATCCATCGAGCTATCGAACCAAGGTGTCCATCATTCTGCAGGGCCCTGATTGTATCGCCTCCAACTTCACCGACTATCCCAGCATAAATATTTGCATTACGAATTCTCTGCTCATTGCCCTTCTGTATGATCTTCCTCAGTCCTATAATGCAGTATGCCCGTGTCACGATGTTGTTAAGGTACTCACAGAGAGGCTGGATGCAACCTAGGTCCACCAACAAGCTGGAAAATAAACATTGTGAGTGCACGTCGATAAGATAGAGATAACATGATGCAAGAATCACAACAAGATAGGGAGAGTTAGTATTGTAAAATATGGAAGAACATTGCATACTTAATATCTTCAACAGTTCCATGCCTAACTGCTTGTGCAAGAATGGAGACAGCCAACTCTTTTACTTCGACATCTCCAAATCCATCTTGTATTATTTCAAGAAGCCGATGGATTATATGTTCATCAAGAATTGCCTGTTTACAGTTCAAAATTGTAATTCCATGTGTTTGAATTATTGGCCAAACAATCAAGAAAATATTGGGACTAGGATTTTAGCCTGAAGGAGGTCATTTGGAACATAAATAGTAAGTGAAGTTTATTTGCAGCTTCGATACTCAATATTTTGCAGGGAAGGTTTCTGTAGGGGAAGTTTGCAGCTTCAAGAAAAGTATAGCACGAAACAAGAGTACAAATATGCACCAAATATAAGAAAAAGTACTCCATATAGATGATGTACCTGTACACTGACCCGTCTGTAGTATATTATAGCGAAGATTGTCTTGCAAGATTTTGCTTGATACACGGGCTCATCATAGAGGTTTTGGTTAAGTGCTTGAAGTAAGTCTTTGTCCATTAGAACCTAGATTATGAAACATGTAGTCAGGGGAAGTCATTGTTAGGACAATATGCAAGAGCCAAAAGAAAACAGTTAAGATTAGAAACAGGAATATCATAGCATGAAACCATGAAGATTTATATTCTACTTAGAGCTTGTGACTCAGGCACAAGCACTAGTTGAATAATGAACCGAGGAGAGCATGGCATTTCTGAGCCTGTTAGCCTCGATTGTAGTAGGTGCAATCTGAGCTCACAAATCACCCCTTGAAGTAGCATACAATTCTGTTACCTTGAACATGAAAGCTATGGATGAGGGCCGGGGGTACCTGAAAAAGAGCTTGACTGGATATCAGATTCCGGAAAATTAGATGAATAGCCTCATCAAGTTCTTCGCTTGTTCCTCTTCAAATACAAGGCAGATGCAATGGTTAATACAAGCTAAGATTCAAAATCATGTAGGACATACTATGAAGGTAACTTACTGCATGAGCAACAATAGACTCTCACATAACTCTGCATTCACATAATCCTGAAGTCGGTTAGCTATCATCAGATTTTCCAAAATGTAGTACAGGGTAACGCAAGCATCAGTAATAATCTCAGTATATATTCCAATTGGAATGTGAAGTAGTAGTAATCTTCGAAGACTTGGAACCAGAATTTCCACCTGCAATAAGAATTCCAGTGTATATAACTTGACAAAATTACAAAAGCTTGAAACATACTCCTAGATTCCAAGAGTTTACTCTCTTTTACCAGATGGACTTCCGGTAATGGATCTCCTGAGCATAAACCTGGCAAAGATTGAACTCCTCTGTACAACAATGTTGCTTCTTCAGAGCCTTGGGATACAGTAAGCATAGGTAGTTCAACTAGTGGTTCAAGCAAGACTGTTAACTCTGTGGCAGCGCCATGCTTAAGAAGCGCGTCCCTGTACTGTGGTGGGAGGTCCTGGGCACATGCCATAGCTCCCAGTGCCTATTGTCCAACAGAAGAATGATCAAGTTCAGCTAACATAACAATCTTCAAATGACAAAGTTGAATTATGTACATAACAATTAGTTTTCATTATTTAAGTTTTCACAATTCCAATTGATCAATAATGAAGTGTGATTACCCTGACTTTCACTGTAATATAGCGAGAATGTAATAGTCCAACAATTATAGGAGCACCACCATGATCGATAATTTCTTGAGCTTGCTCAGGAGACTCATTTATCAGTTTGTAAAGAACTTCTACCACAGTAATCTAGAAAATAAGGCAATAAACATCATTTATACTTCAATATAAACGGATTAATTAGCTAAAGTTTAAAATTATTAGTCTTCTAGAGTGTTAATCAACTTGAACATAGCCTGGACAAGTTCCAAGAAACCGCAGCAAATGAGGGACTATGCCACGCTGAACTAAGGCTTGTGTTGCAGCATGATCCTCTGAAAAATAAAACTCGAAAACATCAGTTTACAGCAAATTAATCAAGCAAGTAATGTAGGATTGTAAGACAATGATTCACAATACAATAGAACGGTCCATGCATATATATTTCATACTTAGTTGCACCATGATGAACTCCATCTTATGAACTGCTGCAAATTGCAACATAAAATCCCCACTCGAAATGTCATGAGCTATGATAGGTACACTGTCAACCTGCCAAAGTATGTAAATACTACTAGATTACATTACATTCAGAAGCTGATAGTGAAGCCAGAATTTAATTAAAAATTTGATACCCCCTCCGTCCTTTAGTTAGATTCCTACTTCTCTCACAGAACGGAGGGAGTACATTCCGACTATCTCATATCATTATATGTATTCGAAGTCTAGAATTATATAAGACTGGACCTTGAATTGAAACCCGACCCAAAATGGTTTGGTTTGGTTTACGACTTTATATTAGGTTAAGATGTACAAAGTAAACTAAACGTGCCTGAAAACTAAAAATGGGTCAGATCAACCAGATCTAGCTAACTTGGTGCTAGTAATAATTTTGATCATCATTTACTCGATCATTTAGTAGCAAACTCAAGTAATTTAATGGAAAAAATACAAACATTTGTAAGATTACCCACTCATTTCATTTATCTAGGTTTTTATCAAACATTTAACACACTTCAGACTAACCAAAATCTGCCACAATATCTTACAAATACAAACGAACTTTCCCCATTTACTACCAAAATTGTGTCAATATTAAGCAAATACACTACTACATGTAATAAGCTAGATATATATTTATCAAAAAAAAAAAAAATGCAATCTTTTGGATTCTTTAGATAAAATGGGACGCTAAAAATAATGTAAAATTACGTAAATCTTGAAAAAAAAAATACAATATTTTTTGTGTTTTCCAGTATTATTACATTATTACCCACAACATCCAAGTAAGATTTTTTTCTTTTTTTATCAACTAGGGATCGAACCTTAGCTTAATAAGTATCATAAAGATTGAAACTTTATTAATTTACTAGAAAATAAAGCTGAAAAAACGATAAATGGGAAAGAAACATACAATGGTTTGAATCTTTTGAGGGTTACCAATGGCAGTCTGCAGATCATGTACCACAAAGAAATACTTGGCATACCTCTTTACGTGGAGTATGCAAGCTCTGATTGATTTTCTTTTCTTTTCTAAATCTTCAATGTTACGTGCTTTCATGTTCGAGATCATTACAAATGGCCTCATTTTTCTTGACTCAACAAAAAAAACCCTTCCTTTTTCTTCTTCAAATGCCAAATGACTAGTAATATGAGGGTTTTTGTAGTATTCTACAGTGTAATATGAGTAAATAGTTTTTGTTAGGACACAAAAATGGGTTTTTTTCAGGGTGTTTTTACATTTTTATTTATTTCTTTGTTAGACAATACCCTTCCATAAAATGTACAAGTATATATATTAGTTACGTTGTATTTCACAAAATACCTTTAATATTACTAGTCATTATTTTTGTGTATTCTGAATGTTTTTTTATTATGGTTTGATAGAAGTTTGAGTCGCTCAATGTTTAGACACTTTGATCATTAATTTCAACAACTCCGTTCCTAGAAATTTATGGGCCTTAGGCATAATGTAAGAAAAGGGTCCCTTACATAAATAATTTTTTTTACACGCAATAGTTTTAAATATAAAACAGTGAAAATAGCTTATATTATTTGAATAGTAAGTCTCTATACACAACTGGAGTAATAAATTTGCATAATATTTCGGTAATTGAATAAATATGAAATGGTGTAATTGAAAAGATTAATATTTTGAAGCAGATACTCATAGAAACCAAAAAGATTAGAAGAAGTGAAGAGGTTATTTTGCATTGTTATCTCCACGACTCCACCTAATTGACATCTAAGTAATTTAATGTTAATTGCTAACTAAATGCAATAATTATCTTTTTAAAAAGTAGTTTTTTTTTTTTAATGAGTAAAAACTACAGAGTAAAATTCTACAGCTATGCAAATTGTTTTTTTTTTTTTAAAATTTGTGCACCTTTTCGGCATGGACCCTAGACGGTCGCACTTGAGACCTACCCCTTTGGGCCGGCCCTGAATTTCACCATTATATGTAGTACGTTATATATATATCAAAACAATATCATGTATTCATGGGATCTTAAGTTGCTCATGACATTTGTTTTATACGAAACAAAATGTTTATTTATTTGCAGCCCACGCATATTAAAAGTGTTAAAGGTTTTGTTGTATTTTTAGCTTTTTAAATATTACTAGTCATTATGTTTGTGTATTCTGTATGATTATATCATACGAAATATATCAAAATTTTATCTTGTTTTAAGTGATTAATTGCATATGTTTCAAAATTTCAATATTACAGAGTACTTTGTAGTATAAAGCGAGTGAAATTTTGCATCAATTACTTACAAAAGCTTTACTTACAATTTTATTTCAACAATTTTCATCAATACCCCCTTTTATTTCAAGAATGAGAATACAACGTCATTGTTCTTCCTCGACACCCTTACTTGCCCTATTACTAGTTAGTTGAATCATACTACGTACTAAGTACATTGTACATAGTACATTAACCTCTCCAAAATAAGATCATGAAACTAATTTGCAACCAACTATACATCACATTCTAATGTTTGAGTAATATCATCTTTAAACAGTAATTTTAAATATGGAAGAATGCGAGGGAGTATAGGCAAGTCCGCCAAGTTTACACTCATGAGATCAAAAGCAATGCTAGCTTTTTCCAAGTTGATCTCACTGCTAATTGAAGGAATTTTAGGATACCGTTGGCTGAAGTGTGTAAGAATGATGCGATATACACCAGCAGAGCTCCCCACCTCCATGGCTTCTTTAGAGGTGCTGTGATTTCGGGCTATTGCCTCCTCCACAAGGTCATCTTCAAAAGTCGCCTGCAACAATGAAGTTCAGCTATCAGATTATACTCTATTTAAATAAAAAATAAAAAAAACAATACACTCATCATTAGGAGAATTTGAACAAATGGGACATTTATATTGTTAGTTGTTACAGAAAAAACACACACTCAAGCACAAAGTCTTCAAAGATTGAACCCACTACCTCTTTGTATAGAACTGCAAGAAAGCACCTTTTAAGAATATATTTCCGTCAAATGGCACACAAGTACACTTTTCGGTCCTTTGTTCCACATTTTCCTTTCCTTTTTAACTTAGCTCACTCATGACACGTTAAAATTATCCACTCTCTCTCTTTTCCTCAACTCATAAAGTTCAAATCTTCTGCCATGAATACATCATTCTCTCAAATCTCAACCCTCATTTTGCCTTTCCCTTCCCTATGCTACCAGCCTACCACCCCTGCCTTTCTCCTCACCAAGACCCATGAAATGGAACTCAAAGATATCCACTTTCTTATAATTCAATCTCTCTTATTCCTGTAATGAACCTCGTGATCTCCATTTTCGTTCCACCCCCAAAAATTTCTCACCTCAAAATCAATCAAGATGGAAAAGGAGCCTAAAATTGACTGTGATATTCACCTAGTTTCACACATTCTTTGAACAAATTTAGGTACACTTTTGACAACATCCAACAGTGGCATTAGTGCACACTTATTCAATATCAAACTGAACAAAATCAAACCAATTAAAAGCCAAACAAAACATAAGCATCAAGCATGCTTGCACAAAGCTGTCTGCCTGATAGCAAGGGCTACCAAATTAATTCCCAATCTCGATTAATTTTTTCCTATTCTAAATAAGAGTAAGGCAAACACTTTAGACTATAAGGATCCAGGGAAAAGGGGAGCAATTCTATTAAGGGGTTAGAAAAAATTTCCTGACAAATGGACATGCACTCGGCCACTTTTTTCTGTATACTCATTTATAAATCAAGGGAGCATACATACCTCGTGTATAAGAAGAGTCGCTGCTTCAGCTGCCTGTATTACTTCAGTGCATGGCCTAGTATCACCAGAGTAGACAACCTTCCACCCTGGAATCAAAGCTCCATCATTGTTGACTCTTTCCCTTGCTTTCAATATAACACCAAATGACTCAGGACAATGCACAACAGGAAAACTTATCAATCTTTCCAGCCCCATTTCTTTCAAAACTTCACTCAAGCTCTTTTGTAAACCATAATCTACACAATTATCCACATAAATATTTGTTTTCTGTCTCTTAGAGCACCTCTGCAAACATCCACCCTCCTCATTTTCATCGTTCACATGCTCATCTTTCGTGCAATCAGATGAAAAAGTTTGGCAATTTGTCAACACAGGACCACGCTCGAACGTGTTCCATGAGGCTTCAGAGGTGCTTCTGCAGTCAAGGAACTGCATATCTATATCTTCCAGATCTTTGTATTTATTCAGGAATGATTCAAGGTACTTGGGCCCAATGACATGTAATGGTTCATGAGGGGTTCCCTTCAACAAATCACGTCGCAGAGCAAGTATCCTCACCAAACCAGCATGATGATCAGCATGGATATGTGAAATCCAAATGCATCTTATGTTTTTTACAGCATCAGCAGCACCATCCACGCCATATCTGTAGACAGTAACGACACAACAACTCAATAACAGTACTGAAGAAAACCCTATACAGTAATACAATGCACTAGCTTGGAAATATACTACTGTCCCCCCCCCCCCCTTCCCCACCAAAAAAATAAAAAATACACACTTTCCTCAAAAAATATAAAGCAGATCACCTTCTTTTCAGTTGAGCCAGTGTTCCTTCACCACAATCTAAGAGCAAGTTACCTTTGGCGAAAAGATTAACAAAGATAGAGCTAACATTGCGATATTTAGATGGCTGGGAAGAGCATGTTCCTAGCAGCACAATTTCTGCATCATCTCTCCTTATATTCTCTAAACAACCAGGAAGAGGACTTTGATCCAATGAAGGATCTCCTATCAATCCTTCTCTATCTTTAGTGGGATCCCTTTTGGCCACGACTATGGGCTCACACCAGAACTGGCTGATTTGCCGGGCAGCTTCTACAATTTCTGGACTCTCCAGCAGTAAATCACTAATGACTTGTGAAGAGGGTATCAAATTCGGAACATTTGATTTATCCAAGCCTAGTTGAGAGTGAGGAAGTAAAGTGAACTGTTTGGTAACCAAAAAAAATAAAAGTCAGATTGTGGAATTCCAGAGAGGTTAAAAAAAAGGATAAATACCCAGAAAAGCACTCTAGACAAGCCAGAAAAGAGAGGAAAACAAGATTTTAAGCACCTTGAGAAGATTTTCTGCTAATACACTGTCACAGATCCATTTAATAGGCTCCTGCAAAGGTAAATGAGAAATTTCTCAGTTTCCATTTTCAACATTCTCTATAAACTACTTTATATTATGGGAAGTTGAGACAACGGATACTAAAGTAAACTTCAGAGAAACCAACCATGCCCATTTCAGCATTTTGATGCTCATGAGACTGTAAGGCAGGAGCTGGGAAAAACTGAGGACACAGGTAACTTAGCTGGTTTGTGATCCTAGCACTAGATTTTAGAATCGGTATATTCATGTTCTTCCTGCACATACCATGGTCTCAATCAGCATACATCCAATAACTTAAACATAGAAATGAAGAAAGATGTAATACAAGGAAGGGAGGAAGATTGCTCAACTACAAATGAAGGATTGAAGCAACTCACATTGAATATCCAGCCATAACATGTTGTACTGAGCCAAAATTCTTCATCCAGTTCTGATAATTTATAGTTTGTACAACAGAAGCAGGAGTAAGATGGACTACACAATTCACAGTTTCAAGTGTTTCACCTGAATGATTTGCATAGTATTTACCAAGAGATTGGCTGATAAATAGCTTTCCTGCATGAGATTCAGTTGGGCAGTCAACTATGAGTACAACAGGGCCTTGGATTGAAGGGTCTATCACATCACTGGGGTGAACCTAAAAGCAAGGTAGCATATATAAACAGAATATACAAAAAGTTCCATAATGAAAATCTGTTTCCTAGAAATTCTCATATAAAAAGTCACCATGATATCTAAGCGATCTGACTTGACAGATTTCCCGTTTTTAAGTTCTCTGCGCTTGGGTCCAGGGTTTAGACCAAGGGCTTCAGCTTTCTCATTGTGGAACTTCCCTTTAATTTCGGCCAACTCACAGATGTAGACAACAGACACATCACTAGGTTTTAGGGAGGAATCTTCAGAAGTACATGGTTGTAAGAGAACTGCTGAAACTTTGACAGCTGCACTTCCACAAACAAAGAAAGGACCTTCAGGCAGGCTTGAAGCAGTAGGAGATTGAGCATCTGAAGACAGATTGACTCCAAACCTGTCCGCACAGATAGAAGCATGTGGAATGAAGGACTTGAGTGCATGAACCAATGGTTTGAGATTTGATGGACCCCGTAGCTTGACCTAGCAGTCAAAACCTCAGCACAGCATATAGAATAAACTCACATAATAGCTCATTATACAGTTTGCAAGTCAAAGGGACAGCAAAGTTGGCATCATGACTCAAGCCAATACTTACAGAATGTCCTTCTCCAATGCCAGCCAAAGTTAGAAGCAGCCCTGTCCAAGAAGTCATTGATCTTTAGAAGAACCATAAAACAAAGACTACACTCAAGAGAACAAAATAAATGTGAAGCTTCTCTCCTCATTTACTCTCATATTAATTAAAATTACCTTAACAATTCATTCTATATAGAGCAAGCATAGTTTTCAAACATATAATATAATAGAAAAACATGAATAAAAAAGTATGGCACAAAAAGAAAAAAAACCTGGAAGTCCACCAACTGTCTCTGAGCAAACACGAGAAAGACATATATAATCTATCTGAAAAGGCATCACAGACACAATATCCTCAGCAATTCAGTATGGAAAAAAAAAAAAAAAAAGAAGCCACAGAATACTCATGAACATTCAAAGACTACAGCAATTGATCCACCTATATATACCTTTGATAGCTTAATCTTATGCTCCGCACAGAATCGTTGTAATCCCTACAATGAGATTAGACATGAGTGTTTATACGTGCTCCGAGAAGTATTAATTGAGCAACAACTATATCTCATAATCGAAATGGGTGTTTCAAACAAAATCTTCTACCAATACAAGGCTTTATCTTTACCTCTCCAGCATTAAATATAATCCGAAAATTATCAAAGAAGAGCAGAATTGAAGGCAGTGTGTCATGAGTATCCATACCAGTTCCTAAAATCTGCTCCAGAAAAACAGAAACCAAACCGTGTCACCAAAAAAAAGAACAATTCATTCAACCAGCCACTAAAACATGGAAACTGAATCAACAAGATTTCTATGATTAGCATTAAACTCACTTTCTAAATACTTATGTTTCACAATAAGCTCAAAGTAAAAACTTGCATTTATACCTTATTTACCCGGCATCTATATCATTTCCAAGGTACACTTGTACCTAGGTTTTTGTTCTTCCTTTACTCGGGAACAACTAAGAATTTATACCTCATTTAGCAATCATACCCTATATTCACTCTCGTATTACATAGGCCTTTTTTTTTTTCCCCTTTTTATCACCTGTCATCTATCTCCATCCTCTTTCTTGAAACAAGGATAATGCTAAGCTTGTTGGGAAATTAAAAAAATTATGATAATACATAGTATTAAGAAATTGTTTTAGCAATATCTTAAACCTAACAATCAAAAAAATGTTTTCAATTGAACAATATGCCAGCATATAAGCAACTAATTTTATTTTTTTAAAAAAAAGCAAACAGCTAAATTAATAGTTTTTATGAACAAGTTCACAAATTTATAGTAAAACTATTGAATACAAGAAAATATCAACAAGAACATAAATTTTACACAGTATATAGAGAGCGAAAAGATAACCTGCACATAGGCATTGGAGGACTGGGACTCTTCTTGACGATACACTTTCATCTGCTTGTTTCGTTTCATTGCTGATAATTGCGAAAGTATAAAATTAAGAACAAAAATTCAAATATCAAGTTGAATTCATTATATTACCATAAAAATAAATCATTACCCATATAAAAAATTCAATATTGTTAATTGGAGACTATTAAATATTGCAAAAACCTTAATTGAATGCATTACAACTAGAATCAAAAGCCCTAAAATTGAATGCGCAACAATTTCTGAAATTTATAGAAATATTAGTATTCAAAATTGAATTTGAATGAGTTAAGCAAGATTATTTACCTTAGCGATTGATTGAATTCAAATTCTGGAAAAAGTTTGAAGGTGAGGAATTTGTTAGCTGAAAGCCTTTTTGGATGTTTTAAGTCCAAGTCAAGCTACTACGTTTATATGTTGGGCGCGAATGTTAGCCCCTCGCTTGGTATTTCTTACTACACACTAGAGTGTGCCGAGTCCGTGCAGCGGACTATGGGTGGGGGTGTGTTGAGTCTATGCTACATTGCGTAAGTGCGTGATAGAAGTTATGAACAAATTATTTTATATTATTGATGTTGTTTTAGAGCATTGAGGAATATGGGTGGGGAGTGTGTCGAGTCTGAGTCTAGCTAATATGCAAGTGTGAAACAAGTTATGAACAAGTTATTTTAGATTGTTGATGTTGTTGTTTTAGAGCTGTGCATAATATGGGTGGGGTGTGTTGAGTTTTTGTCAACGCGTAACTGCGCAACAGAAGTTATGAACAAGTTATTTTATATCAACATTAATGTATAGTGCGCTCCATTTATTTGTCTTTTTAAACCAAACCTTAACATTATATCTCGTGTCTTAGCTCGTAAAAGTAGCGGGCAAGGCTTTTCGGGCCGGGTTCGGGTTTTTAACTTAAATTGTGTTTTTCGACTTGCCAAAACCGGCTTTATTTTCAGGCCATTTGGGGGAGGCTATAGCTGATCACCTCTAAACCCAACCCCCGACATTAATTTTTTATTTCATCTATAACTTTTCATATTATTAACCCTATTGAACTGACACCTCTCACATATCACAGGTTAAATCAGACCAGCTCCGCAAGTCAACGCTCGAGAGTAAAGGGGAGAGCCGGAGAGGTAAGGAAATCCCCCTACTAAGCAAATGTAGTATGTGGTGTATGGTGTTCGAACTCGTGACCTATATGAGTACAAATTAAAAATACAAATGAATATTAGTGGTCAAAGTTATGTGTCGGCAAATATATCGATCAAATTGAGTAATAACTAATAAGTAATAACACAACGGGATAGTGTGAAATAGAGTGAAACAAAGTGAAGGCGAAACACAGAGAAAGGGCAGCAATAGAAATCAATCATCAATGGAGCTGGAAGTACGAGCAGTGGCGGGAGTAGAGAACTGCCATGTCTCACTCCCACTCTCTCTCCTCCAAACCCTAGAATCCACTCATCCTGACCACCATCTTCCTCACTTTCTCCCTCTTCAGCTTCGTTCTCTCTCCGTTGACCGTCTTTGGCATGTCGCTTGGTGCGGTTCTTCCTCTTCTTCTCCTGCCATCGAGGTTTTTCTCTTTCCTTTTTTTGATTTTAATTTCATCAAATTTTCGATTTTATTCGGAATTTTGTTCTAATTTGATGATATTTTTCCGAATTTTATCTGGAATTTTTGGTTAATTCTGCTTAGTTTGATGATTTAGGATGATTTTTTTGCCGTTGAATTGGATTCATTTTTTATATTTACCTCATTAATATTTCGATTATGTTCGAATTCATCTGCGAATTTTCGGTTGGTTGGCTGATATTGCTTATTATGATGACTTAGGGTGATATCGTGCCTTTAAATGCGAGCAAAGAGAAATACTTCTATTTAATTTGGATTTTGATTTTAATCTCTCCAATATCTGGATAATGTTTGAAATATTGTTCCAAATGGTTAATATTTTTGGGAATTTAGCGGCAAAATTTCGTTTTTTTGGTTGATTCTGCTTAATTTAATGGCTTACTATGATTTTGTGCCTTCTAAATATGAGCAAAGAGACAATACTGGATTCAATTTTGACTTTAATTTCATCAGTATATTAATTATTTGCTGAAAGTTGTAGGAATTCAGCTGCTTTTTTTCAATTAGTTTGGTTGACCGCTTAATTTGGTGAATTACTATGATTAATTACCAACAAAGAAGAAAAGAATGGATTTCATTGGACTTGTCAAAATCTTTGAGCGATTATTTTTTTTGTTATCATCTTATTGATAAATCAAGGCAAAAAGATGAAGGTTTTTAACTGAGCTGTTAGAAAACTTAAATTTGTTGATTATTGTTTCGGATTTTTGTCGAAATGTATTATGGTTTGCCTTGAAATTTGTAATTTGCATGTATGGAAAATTGTTTAGTAAATTGTACTTAGTTTTAATGTTTATTGTAGATAGCTCAAGAATTTGCTGCTTGTATTGGTTTACCGGATGGAACAATTGTGCAAGTTAGAGCTCTTCCTAATGTGCCCAAGGCTAGCCTTGTCACAATCGAACCCCTTACTGAAGATGACTGGGAAGTTGTTGAGCTCAATGCTCAAAGTGCCGAGGCTGCTATCTTGAATCAGGTCTTTCCACCTCTTGTTTTGTTTACTGGGTTTTTTTTTATGATAATTAACTGGTTTTGTATTGACTGCATAGTTAGAGTTTTACCGTTTAGTATATTGATTATTGAATGAGCTTTACTGCCTCAGTAGGAGTGAACCTGCTTATAGATTACCAAGCAAAATACAAAAGGAAACACTTGGCCATGAGATTTTTTTCACCATTATTAATATATGAGGGTCACTTCTGTGCTCTCTTTTGCTTGGTTGCTGAACTATCTACCCAATCTATGTGAATTTCACCATATGTATCAAATGCATGTGAATGTCGAATGCATTCAACAAAGCTAACACCTTTACCACTAGCCATTACAAGTTGGAATGTGTTGTGAACTTGTGGAAAAAAATCTGTTCTTTTGCTGTGAAGAAGCTGTAAAACCGTCTTGACATTGTGTCGTTTGAATTTTTACTGATATTCATCTATTCCTGATGCATAAATGCATAATTGCTGTATCGAGGTCTGAACTACTGCTATTCTAGGGTCATACACTACTCAGAGAAACCAGACCTAGTGTTGATTGAGTATGTGGATTGTGAAGTCAATGAGGATTGCTCTTCTGTCACAAAATTTCATGCCACAGCTTGACAGCTGGCAGTGATTTTTTTTTTTGTTCTTTACTTATTGTATCTAAGCACATCTGATGAACTAAAGCTATTTCTTGTTATTCTGTTATGAACAAACTTCTTCACTCTTAACTATCCATTAATATAGCATGTTATTCATTTTCTTAATTAGGTGCTTATCAAAAAAAATGTCTTGTGGTTTAATAGGTACGCATTATCCAAGGAAACATGACATTTCCTTTGTGGTTGCATGGCCATCGAATTGTTACCTTTACCGTGGTATCATTGTTGCCTGACAGAACCGTGGGTAAGATATTATGGGTTCTTTGCTTACTTTGGGTCTCTAATGTGCTTCTGCATGTTTCAGATTTATGGAATTGAACTATTTGATGATAAATAATGCTCTATAATGATATTGATCTTAGGATTAGGTTAGTCTTCGGATTTAAGATGTTTGGTGCAAGTGAGGAACTGTTTGTAAACCTAATGATTGTAGTGGAAACTTTCTGCCATGTTAAGTTAATCAATCTAGAATTTTAAAACTGGTTTTTGTTTTTTGTAAAAACTTACAATCAATTTAGAATATTTAAAACCTCATGGACTTTGCTGGATTTCCTATGTTTCTAGCAATTCTGGCTTGATTCTTTTAATGCTTATAACACCTGTTTGTTTATCTGGATGACGAACATATAACTTATAACTAATATCTGTAGTTTTATTAACTTTTTCTGTTGTATGTGGTAAGACAGTACTGTTGTACGCCGCTTCATTGTTGTGTGTATTGCAATAGTCATAGCAATGAATATAGATCCTCTTTTCCATGCAAAGATATTATATTGCATATTACTTTTGGCTTAAATGGTGTAAGACAGTAGGAGTTTTTTTTTTTTTTTTACTTTCAATTTTCCTTGATAGCTCTCTCTCTCTCTCTTTCTCTCTCTGCGTGTGTTTGTTTGTTTATTTATTTATTTTTTTGTGTCAGTGTGTGTTTTATGAGGTATTAACATTTTCATTATCAGTAGGTATGATATTCTTATTTGATCAGTATTTATGTGTGTGTAGATCTTTGTCTGCCTCCTCAGTTTTCTTTTCTATCCGAATCTTAAGATAAAAGAAATCTGACTTCGTGATACTAATTGCTTATTGTGAAATATTATTGCAGTACAACTTGTGCCAGGAGCTGAAGTTGCTGTTGCACCAAAGAGGCGTAGAAAATCTGCTGACCAGTGCGAAGACTCCAGTTTGAAATCACTAGATGGATCTAATTCTTTCCAAAAGGCGCTTTTGCGTGTTCAAGATCCAAAAAATAGGTTGATCCTTGATAACCATTTAAAAGGAGGGAATGTGGGCATTGAGCTAACATCTATTGTTTTAATTCATCCAGAAACAGCCAAAATGTTTTTGTTTGACTCTCTTCATGTAGTTGTCATATTACCTAGACAACCTTTAAAGATGAAAGTGGAGAATACTGGAAATATTAGTCAGAGGAAGCAGCCATCATCAGAGGAGAGTAAATCTCGTTACGTAATAGTTCGTCTTGTGTTCTCTGAGTCTGTTGCTAAAGGGCACATCATGATTTCTCAATCATTGTGTCGCTATCTGAGAGTAAGCTTTCACTCATGTATGTCACCTCTCTGGTATTGAGTAACTCACTTTATAGTGCTATATTTCACATTTAGGCATATTTATCAAGTCTGTAATTGTTAATACTCAATACACAAAGTGTTTTCTTGCGATTGTTTTGCTATAGTGCTGAGAACTAAGTGAGGGAATTTTCATTGCTGAACTTCTCAAGGATGGGTGTATTTAAGTTGTTTCCTTCCTAAAGCATTTTATTGGTGGGTAGGTGTGAAAGTGATTGCCTTCTTGACCTTTGCAGCATTTTGTGGTTCAGGAAATTAGTTTTGTTTTTAGGATTGTAGTATGAAGGTTTATTGCCAAGCAAACTGTGTTGCAGACATTTACCAAGTAAGTTTAGATATTATTGCAGTATATTTGTTGTAAATATGATGAATAATATCTACTCTTCTCCTAGCTGTATTTTTTATTAACATTTCATGCCCTTATTTTGGATATGCCTATATGTTCAAGGAATTTAAATATCCTTGGTTATCTTGGAATTGGCTTTTCATCGATGTGTTGATATAATTTTGATTAAACATTGTCACAGTTACTTTAACATATACTCCTTATGTTCAAATTTGTTTTATATAATTGCTAGCTATGTGCAGAGACCGGAGAGTATCAAAAAGCCATATTATGGCTTGAATAAAATGCCTTGATAAAATAAGTTAAC